GTGAGCCAAAGATAGGAAGGGCAAGACAGAATATTTTGAAGAATTTTTCCCAGCTAGGTGCAGTTATTTTAAGAACTCTTCAAATCTTAAATACATATTTAGGAAAATGGATGAGAGTTTGCATGAAAACATAGCATTTTTGAGCAAATAAGTTCAGCAGTTATTGGGTTTTATAGTATGCATGTCATTTCAGTAATTTACTGGTATTAATGTGAGATAACCGTGGTCTGTCACTGGCGTTTTTTCTGAAGGTCACACTGAGCTGCCAGCATTTTCAGGACGGCTTTAGGAGTCACCACCATGGCAGAAGACATCAAGACCAAAATCAAGAACTACCAAACTTCCACTTTTGATAGCCGCTGACAGAACTACCTGGGGTTCCACTGCTGGAGAAGGCAATGAGCCAGCGGTAGTATCAGTGTATGTACAAGTTATTTTGTCCCATATCCTGGGTGTCCACCTGGAACGACCACTGGGCAGAAGGCACAGTTCCTGGGAAGGTGTCCAAGAAATGTCCTCCTGGTCCTCCTACTTCTCTCCTGGGATCCTGACTCATCATTAACTAATAATAACTCATTGGAAAAGTGTAAAAAGCAAGTAACTTGAATTAATGAATATTTAAAGTTTCATACAATGTTGTTTTTTTAGGGAAATGATGTATATATATTCAGATCTCTTAATACGTTTGTTCATGTTTGCCATTTACACGGTTGCATTATGAGATCTAGCACTTGTCCGTCAGTTTGCTGTACTGTGGTAGCTGGTGTTGTGCTGCTGGAAGCTGTACTGCTGGTATTTCAAATACCAGCAGGGCCACCCATGGTTTTTTATTGGTAATGGAGAAAGACAAGACTTTCTACTTCCCATCTGAGTTACAGCCTCAGAAAACCACAGGGGCAGTTCTACTTTGTCCTATGGATTTGCTATGAGTTGGAATCAACTTGAAGGCAGTGAGTTTTTAAAAAATTATTATTTTTATAATGAAGTTGGAAACAAAGAAAGAGATCAGTAGTTGAAAAATATAGCCTTTTAAAAACAACATAACTGGTGATTATATTCATGACTTCATCAGATGGGAATACACAGGGATCAAATTGACTAAAGACACAATAGAGAAGCTCCATATCAGTCAGAATAAAGACAGGTACCAAATAAGAAACAAACAGATCTTCAATTGCTCCTATGTATGTTCAAGTTGAAACTCATTTAACTTTGAGTGTATCCCATCTGAATGATACAATTTTAAGAATAGATTTAACACACCTTGCACTTTCGAAGACCAGACAAGTTGTGGGATGGCGTCAAGAGTGTTATGCACGAATATACTGAAAGGTCACTGAAAAGACTAGAAAGAAAGACAAGGCAAAATGGCTATCAGAAGAGACTCGGCAACTTGTTCCGGAATCCAGAAAAGCTAAAGAGAATAGAATAATGCAGTAAAAGAGTAGAAGAGAACATTTCCCAGGGCAGCTCTAGACAACAAAGTAAAGCATTATACTGAAATATACAAAACCTGGAGTTAGAAAACAAAGAGAACACACAGCAATTCTCAAGCTGAAAGAACTGAAGAAAATAAATCAAGCTTCCTGTGAAAATACTGAAGGTTTCTATGGTCAAGATAGTGAATCATGTAGTAAGCATCAAATGATGGAAGGTATACTTGGTACACTCACTGTACCAAAAATAACTGGTCAATGACCAACCCTTTCGGAAGTAGTATATGATCAAGAAGTGATGGTATTGAAGTAAGAAGTCCAAGCTGTGCTGAAGGCATAGGCAAAAACACTCCAGGAATTGATGGGATATCAATGAAAATGTTTCAACAAATAAAGACTCAACTATGTAAAGAAATTTGGAAGACAGCATTTTGTTCAACTGACTGGAAGAGATCCATATTTGTGCCAATTCCAAAGAAAGGTGTTGTAATAAAATGAGGAAATTTTCAAGCAATATTATTAATAACATTTTGCTGAAGAGAATTAAAAAATGGTTGGTTGTAGCAGTACATGGACAGGGAAATGCCAGAAATTCAAACCAGATTAAAGAGGTGTAGCTTTGACTGAATGGATCTCATCCCTTAGGTTAACTAGATTTTGGGTTGTTTTACAAAATGTCTTAACATTTTTCATAGTCTTGATTTCCAGGCCTGCCTGTTTTCACCCCATATTGTTAGACACTGGAGGAGAGCTCAGTAAAAGAACTTACTTGAACTGCTCCATATTTTGCTCTCCTCACCAAAATACATGTCGCCAAACTGGAAGGTGTTACATTTAGCAACATTTTTCAACACATCAAAGGAAATGAATCACTGGTTTGAACCTGAAGCTGAGACACCTTCAAAGGGCAAAAGCAGAGGACAACTTTCCCAAGGTCATGAGTTTTAAGGTCACTGAATTTTTTCCAAACTTCATTGGCAGTTTGGGTTTAGTTTGCATAAAAAATTTCTAGACTACAGATATATTTGCTAGCTAGTTTCATACTCATTTCTTTTGTCTTATATGTCTGTAGGTGCTGCAGACTAATAGTTTCACTCTACTGCATGAATGTTATTGAGATCATTGCTTTATGCCTAACTCCCATCATTTTTTAAATACTTTTATTCTACCACCTAAGTTTTATGAACTTGTTGCATTGGTAAACTTTTCCAGGTGCTTTAACCAAATAACTTCCCTTTGTATTTTTCCCATTAGTGTGCTAAATATGTACTATTGGCAAGATTAACAAGATTTAATTGTAATTGTTATAATCAGATTTATCATATGTTGCATGAAGATGATTTTTGAATGTAACTTCTCAGAAAGCTAACAGGTTGCCCATGAAGTGAACCATATATAGAGACGAGATATAGTCTATATAAGAACTAAGGCAAATGGCCTAACCAAAAGACAATGTGGGCCTGCTATGGTGAAATGCGATGAAGGAATCAATCATATGGTGCTGGTGATAAAAAAGGATATTATCTGGAGTATTAAAGTCTTATACTAAAATAAGCAGCCATCCATAGGGGCAATCAACCAGTCCATGAAGACGAAAGCAGACCAACCTAAACGTAAACAAAGGATCTCTAAATAAAATCTTGGGACAATTTCCTTTTAGTTTCATAATCTACCATTAGCCCATGGCTGTGAATCCTTTGGACACCATTATGGCCTCTTGCTGATAGTTTCCTTCATTTGAGAAATTTGCTTGTCTATGTTCTATTTGAGGCTTTTTATTGTATTTTATTTTTTATTTAAAGGAGTTCCTATAAAATGTTTGAATTTCCCCCTTAGTTGGCATTTCCTTCTTTTTACATGCTCCAGAAGACACCACTTTGTCTTCCAAACTCAAATTCATCACCAAAGAGCTTATTTCAACACATAACTGCACTTTGGGTTTCTGAGGTGGTAAATCTCTTGTGGAACTGCTAGTGCTTTCCAACTAGCAGCCTGATGTGTAACCCACTCTACCATCGTGGCTCCTTCATTAAAACATATAGCAATGTGACAAATATCCTGTGGCCACATGTGTTTAAAGCTTCAATTTTCTTAGGAGGTGCTTATGCACGCCATGTCCATGCTCTTGGGACGTGTGGGTATATCCAGAGAAGGAAAAGCGTGGAAGCGTCAAAATAACTCAACACTTACATGGAAATAAGACCAATTAGTAACCCAAGTAGTCCTGCTAATTTTTCCCTTGGAATTTCAACTTAGTATGTAAGAGAGACCAATTTAGAACAGCTCCTTCACACATGTGCCCACCTCCATTTCTGCCCCTAGGAATAAGAATGCAGCAGCAAATACAAACACAAGAACTTTGTTTTAGGAACTTGCCTTTACACGCCATTTGGACAGGTACTTGTCTAGGAGACCAAGGCGATGTCAGAGGGTCATGGCAGTGACCCAAGTGGCAGCGTATCTCAGACTCAAAGTCTGTTTTGTTTCTGATTACCAGGTAGATGCTAACTCTGGAAAAAAGGGTCTTCATCTCAGTCAATCTTTTAGGACCCCTTCCTCCAACCCGTCAAAGAGTCCCCCCGGACACTAAAACTTTTCAGTCAGTGGCTCAATGGATCCTGGTTTCCTCTACAAAAGAATAGGATTTTGCAGAACTCTTGGTTCTAAAGTCAGCATACAGGAGTGAAAAATCAGATTGTCAAAAGAACCCTGGAAAGTCTCTTCAACAGATCATAAAACATAGCACATCTGGTTTTATTTCTGCAAGGCTATTCAGTGCGTCCAATATAGTCCTTCAGCAATGACACAAATTGTTGTTTACTGGGTGGTTAGCAGCCAAAGCACATGACCCACATTTGGGGAACATGCAAGATAAAAGTATTTTTTTGTCCAGATGATAGTTGCATTTGTTTACATCAACTGTGTGTATGATGCCACTCCAATGAACACTCCCTGGGTATTTAAAACCAATAAAATTTGACCAATGTGTAGAACAGGTTCATTCCAGATAACCACAATCAAATGACTATTGTAGTAAATTGAATCACATTATCTTTTGGTTTCTCAATGCATAAAGACACTAGGTGGCTATGAGTGTGCATTGTGAAACAGTTTCAAACATTCTGAAAATTCCCAAAATATGAATTTTAAACAAGAAATGAGTACATGCTGCTGGAAAAATGCCGCCAATTTTTTTTTTGTGACACAAGGCTGCCACAAGCCTTCAATGATTTAAATAATAATACTAAAGGCAGAAGCTGCAAAACATAATAAAATGAGAGGTGCCTGTATACACTGCACACTCCAGCAAAACCCACAGAATCTGCTACAGGAGTCAGCAGGCAATGGAAAGAACACCCCACACCAAACATTCTGAAGACTTAAGAGTTCAATTCCAGCTCTCATACTAATTACCTGGGAGCCCCTAGGAAAGGTAACACACTTCTCTGGCTTTTCATGTTCTGGTCTATAAAAGAAGGTGGTTGGACTAGACAGATCTATAGAATTCCCTCCTTGCTCTATTAACTCTGAGGTCCTCTGAAAGAGCTCATGAAGCAGCCTTACCTTATAATGAAAGGATTCTTCACACTGCTTGCACTGGTATATTCTCGCTTTGCAGTGGTTGATCATGTGGCTCTCTAAGTCTTTGCTGTCGCCAGCGATGTGCTCACAGATAGGACACTGGTAGGGTTGTCTCTGACGGTGGACCCGCAAATGCTGCTTAATGTAGCCTTTGTTACCACTTGCGTAGTGACACAGGCGGCAGCGGTAGGGCCGCTCAGCATTGGGGATGTATTCCACCACGTTGTTTCCTGACAAGGTCATATCGTTGTTGGGTTGGCACTGGGCATTGTCCTGCAACTCTTTCAAAATGTCATCGTCTGAGGCATTTTGGTCTGTCCTTTCCCTCAGTTTTTCAATGACCGTTAGTAAGGACATGCTGATGCCTGTCTTGACTTGCCCATCTGACAGCTCCTGCCTATCTTCTGGGAGCTCTACCAACGTCGAGCTGCTTTGGTTAAAACTAGTTAATCCATCTGAAGAAGTCTTAAGTGGCGACATCATTTTAGAATAGGCTGCCAAGGTGCTGTCTACTTGCCTCTGTCCAGTGTCGGGACCTAAAAGGTTTATGTCTCCGTAGTGCCCGAGGTTGGCGCGGGTGAGTTCGGCAGCTCTTATAGGCATTGTGACCAGGGCTTCTGCAGCCAGCGAGTGCAGTCTCAGAGACTCAGAGTTGGTCCTTCTGCGGCCTGGAGGGGCATTCTCATCAGGAGCCAGGCCTTTACTCATTAACTCACTGTCTTTCTCTGGAGTGCTCCAGCCTATGATCAGCCCCCCAATATCGAAAGTACATTTTTCAGCACGATAAACTTCACCTGGCCCTTCAGACCTCATCTGTGCTTTGGTGGGGCTCAGGGTGCTTCCCCCCTCCATTTCTGCATTCATGAGGAAGTGTTTCTGAGGCAGTGTTTCTTCGGCGCTTGGCAGGCGCTCCACTATCACGTTGACGTGACCTTTCTTATTTGGGCTACTGCTAATGATTTTCTGTGCTGATGAGAGCAGGCTCTCAGCTCGCAGGTTCTCCTCCACGTCAGAAATTACTTCCAGCATTTCCTCTTCACTAGGGTCAAGGGCACTTGACCGACTCAGGTGTACTGCCTGGTCTGCACTCTTTCTTAAAGGAGACAGAGATGATAATGGCTCTGAACTGCAAATCTGTACCTGGACTGATGGCCCGTTGTGGATACTGAGCTCATTGTCTCCGATAGCTATGACGACAGCATCCACACCACTGGATGCAGCAGTCACTGAAGAATCCAATAGGCCTAGGGGTTCATTGTCATTTTCAAAGATCGGGTATGAGCAGTCTACCTCCCCGGCATGTTTCCAAGCATGTGTTTTCAACATTCTCTGCTGGCCGCAGGTGTAACTACAGAACAAGCACCGGTACATGCCATACTGTTCATATGCATACCATTTCCTCCTACCCAGCTCTGTCATGGACGTCGTTTGGACCATCTGAGTTTGTGGACTACCCACACTGACTGAGACCTCAGGAAAGGTTTCATTGTTTTTTTCGGCGATTTTCTGACACAAGGGGTAGGAGGGGCTAATGCACTGTTGGGCTTTGGATTGGGCGTGCACGTTAGCATCATTTTCATGATCGTTGACCACATGAGCTTCAAGCTCCTCTTGGCTTTTAGATGTAACATGGCACTCTGAGCACATCAGTATCACTTCATTCTGCTGACCATGCTGTTTGATGTGTTCTTTTAACACGGAAAAAGATGACGACAGAAACTTACAGAGGCTACACTGATAAGACATTGCCTTCCCATCATTCTGGGGGAGAGAGGCAGGGATGAAATTGTTTGGCGCCATCTCAGGTCTTCTAATGTCGGCCGCAGGTGACTGGGTTGCTTTAGCTGGAATCTCACAGAGGTCTTGGGTTTCAAGAGGGCGCATTGCAGCACTTGGACGTGAGCGCTTTTTCCCAATTAAAAGACATTTCTGGGACTTTTCATGTTCCACTATCTTGCTTAACTTCTGGATAACATGGATTAGTGGGTCTGTTTTGGCTCTTCTTCGTTCATCAATTTCCAAAGCTGGGCTGATGACAGTTTCAGCAGTCAATATGGCTTCCTGTTCCCCAATATCTGGCACCAACATGGTGACACTGTGGCTTTCTTCCATATCTGAAAAAGGGCAGTGGACAAGACAGAGGGTCCAGGTTATAGAGGAAGAGTGGTTATTTCTGATACACGCTGACCCAATGCGTGCAGAGGCCACCACAGGGTTTTCAAGGTTGTGCCTTTTAGAAGCAGACCACCACACCTGTCTTCCTAGGCACCACTGAATGGGCTTAAACTGTTGGCATTTTAGCCAGTAAATGAGCGATTAACCATTTGCTCCACCCAGGGCTGCAATGGAATAAGTCACTTTTAAAACTCAGGGATGCAAGTCAGGAAATCGAAACCAATTTTACTACCCAAATTCATCTAAGTATCTTCTAGGCTGAGAGCTTCATATCAATTACCTAACAAAGAACAAAGTTATTTTGAATTTCTCTTTGTAATATTTTCTACCAAGACCCTTTCAACCTTCATTTATTTCTTGGAAAAAATGACAGCAATCTGCATAGTTTTCCCTTTGTGTCCCTATCCAGCTTGACCTAAGCAGTACTCCCTCCCTTTCACACAATTCCAAAAGGACGATTTCTACTTCCCGATTAAGTAACACAGCCGTTCTCAAAAGGCCCATTGCGCCATTCCTCTAGAAAGTCAACACATGGCTGATACCATTCTTGGGAAATTACTCTTCACAACAAACATGACTGACAGTTTTATTACTAACCGCTATGTTCTTCTTCCTCCTCAAATCTTTGAAAGTGTGGAAATAGAGCCACATAATCTACTGTAAAGGGCATGGTGAGTTTTGAGAAGTATAATGGAAATGAAACTAAATAAAAGCAATGATTTAGTTCCTTTTTTTACTTCCCTTGACTTATCTTCCTAAAGATAAACCACAAACGATGCTGTGGTTTTTTTCCTAGAGGTTATACTAGTGGTCAACTATTACTCATTCATTTATATGTATTTCACTCTTCCTGAAAGGGACAATGATATTCCAAGCATGTTCCTCACCCAGTTACAAAGAGTCCTGGGGAGGGCTATCTGTAGGTCTAATCCAGCATCCTGGCCAAAAAAGGCACTGATCATAAAATACTCTTAGATCTTGCAGTCTAAGATGCAAATACGCTCTTTCCTAGCAATACTTTCCCTTCAAACATTTCCTTTGGCTTAAAGTAAGATTCATTTGTTGACTTAGATTACATTTTAAAATTTAGGCTTTTTCCCACATTTTAGGTGCATTTTGGAACCTTATAACAGTAAAAAAATTCCAGCAAAAATTTAATGGCACTGCTGTGGACCGAAGACCCTCACTGTTCCTCAACTTTAGTACCAGCCTCTGGATTCTCACTGGAGGTCTTAGACCCAGCCAGGCCGCCAGCGCTCTAACTGCCATAAGCGCTGTGCACCCACAGCTCGTCTTAGCAGCGATCCTGGCAACTCTTCTCTTATTTCCTGCTCCCTCTCCAATACTGACTTTTTGTATCTAGATCTGTATGAGGCAAAAATGGAAACCTTTTACATTCTCCTTCTGTAGTACTTCTTACCTGCTTAGGTCCCTAGTGGATTAAAAGGGTATGCTGTCGGCTACTAAGTGAATGGTGGGTGGCCCAAACCCCAACAGGGCTACAGAAGGCCTGGCAACGTGTTCCGTAAAGACTGTTGTTGGGTGCTGTCCACAGTGACTCTGGTGACTGAGGAGAACCGCCTGCCGCCAAGGGTTTCCCAGGTTGTAATCACCAGGTCTTTCTCCTGCAGAGCTGCTGGGGGGGAGGGTTGAATCACGAAGCTTCCAGGAAGCAGTCAGGTGCTTAACTGTTATGCCACCAAGGCTCAAGATAATCCTATGAAGCTAAGTTCTACTTTGTATCGAAAAAGGGTCTCCAGGAATCAGGATCAATTGGAAAGCAACTTTCTAACTCTGCTCTCTGGATTAGGAATTGTTTCCCAAAGTGGGTGGTACTGTCACCTTGAACGATCTAAAGGGGCTTCAAAAGCTCCTGTTTACTCAGATTATGGACTACAGCACAAACGTTTTTAATTACTAGGGAGACACTGAGTAGCTTTTTGACCCTGAAAAGGGGGGCAGTAGGCCAAATCAGATGATCTGCTTCTTCCCACCAGTGGCCACTCCATATTCTAGCCTGTGCCTTCCACAGTCATTACAATGACCTGCTCCCAATGGACCCCTCTCCCCACGGACCTTAAGCCATACTCTTCCTTAGACAACCAGAGGGTACTCTCTCTCAAAAGATGAATTCCTTTATACCTTAAGTAAAGTGAGCAACAGGGGGAACTTTACACTCAGCTTAGCTCATTGCAGACCAGACCAGTGGAGAACAACTTTTTTTTCCTTGCAGGAGAATCCCTTTGTGTGACTTAAGTCCCCATTTTCAAGCCACGGGCAGCCATGTCCCTTCCTCCTTCATGTGCTTAGGGATTTCTTCCCTTTAAGGCCATTCACTTCAGCCTTATGCTTCACTTATACTTAAAATTGCACATGAGTTTAAGAAATGAGCTTAGTAACATGGATCTCTGCACAGTTGATTTCTTCATGTGGCTTTGACACTCTACTGTAGACCTGACCTCTCTGGCCCTTGAATGTGAAGCCCACAGACTGATGAGTAATGTGGAGGGTGACAAGCAAATGTTTGTTCAACACACTCTGCACACCCACAAGGTTACAGAGGTGACTCATGTTATCCCTCTTCCACTTCCTGATGCAATGGGAGAGAGGCAGAACAATGCAAATTGCTCCCCGTGGACATTCAGTGCAACCCCCGAGAAGAATGTAAAATAAAGAGGATGTACTCCTCTATCTCAAGAAAAAGACGAATACAAAAGAACCTGACAAAATTCAGAGTTTTAGAGCTGTGTCTGCTCAAGCATTAAGAGCTAATGGAAATTTGCAGCAGATGCTCCAATCTCCCCCGAACATTTATGTAAGTATCTCATTTGAAAGGATGCATACATTTGGGGCTAAGTACAGAAATGGCAGCTGTAAAACATGATAGGGAAACACAAAATACATCAAGAAACACCTGAAAAACCAGTTTGTGTCCACATGCAAAATCGAGGCACAAGTTAAATCTCATTAAAACCAAAGTCGGTTTTAAAAAGTGGGGAGGGAAGGGTTTCGATAAACAGCTCATGAGTCCCAAATCTTCTTTAGACCACCAATGTATGTGAGGCCTAAGGGATGGCATGCCGGATGAAGAAAAATTTGAGTAATAAAAGATATAAAAATCAGGAGTGCAAATACAATCCCAATGGCTGAACAAAGATGCCAACCTAGATCACCATCTTCTTGCTCTCCTGAACCTCTGGACAGCAAGGCAGACAGCAATTCTGAAGTATCAGCATGGTAGGAAAGTAGACGAGATGGAGAGAGAGAAAGGAAAAGGGCATGGTTAACCCTGAAGTTAAGTCAGGGGCACCTGACCTCAGCTCACTGCACTCCTCTTCCTACCTGTCTAAGCATTTACACTCTTTCTTAATAAACACCCACCCTGTAAGTTGTTACATGCAAGACATCACACTAAGCACCCAAATAAGATAAAACTCACAGCACTCACTGTTTAAAACTGAGTTGAATATTGGAGACAACAAGAATTTAGAAGTAAAAAGATGAAGTGACAGATTGTAAACAAGACAGTAAGTCACAAGGAAGACAGTCACCAGAACAATACTGAGGAACCATGCCCTAATACAGAATCACGAAGAGCTCTGTGTGGGTTGGTCGGAAACAGCCTTGCTGAAGAGCTAGGATGCGCACTGAACTGCACCCCTGGATAATGAGACGTTTGACAGAGGCCAATGCCATATAAATTTACCTATGTTGCAAATATGTCCATAACAAAGCACTCAGAAGGCAAAGATCTGAAAACTTCCTAGCTGGAACCAACCACTCCGAGCGAATGAGTCACTGGTCCTGGGGACTTAGGGCCATTGGGAGACACCAATGTCAAATGGTGTATCACAGTACAAAAAATTAAAAAAAAACATGTACAGTGGCCCCCCCAAAGGATGGGTATATCCCCCTAGTTCACGGTCTTTCTCACTCTGCTGTGTCCCCAGACAGATTACATCATTAAGCTCCCATGGCTTCTGGTTTCTGGTTGGGGTCTGCCAATGGGGAGCCAAGGCAGGGATAAACGAGGCAGCAGAATGAATTCACAAGTCATTCTCCTAGTTCCCTCCATCTAGGTCACTTTGGTGTTTGCATGAGTCTCCTCCCCTCCCCCCATATCATCCCTAGCTTAATCAAGTCAAGCAGAATTGTACAACTGCTACCACAATCAGTTTTCAAACATTCTTATTCTACATGGACTCCTAGGCATCATTTCCCCTTCACCCCACCTTCCACCACTGTGGCCCCCTCTCCCGGAAACCCTTATTGTACTTGCTGTCTTTTGTCTGTGTCCCTTTAACAGAGGTCTCTTTTCTCTTCCTCTCCACAGGCTGTTCTATCAGACTCGCCCTTTGGTTCAGGTGCCTCCATTTTCCTGGTACTGCTAGCTCTGGATAGCCACATTATCTCCGTCTGTGGGTCCCATACCCAATTTCAGTACCCTCAGTATTGCTATCTTTATAAATATACCTTCCTTGAGCTATCCTAATTTGAAGGTGGTATTTGACTCCTTAGGATATTGTTGATGTCATGGGTTTAAAACTGACAAGCATGAAGTACCCCAGGAATCCCAGAAATAAACTTTGGGGGCAGGGCTTGGCACCTCATCAGACTTGATGGGAAAACATTCATAAAAGTCAACAGACAGACCTGGAACTATTCATAGGCTTTTCTTCATGTTTATCTATATAAAAGGAAATAGAGGAAAGAACTCGGAGGCAAAGGACATTTATAGAGGTCTAAATACAGGCATGTACATATGTAAATATATTTATATATAGTGATAAGGACATAGATCTATGTACATATGAAGATAGCAGACTGACATTGGGCTTCTATTCAAGTACTCTCTCAACACAAGGACACTTTGTTCTAATAACCTAGCCTTCTATGATGTTCACCTTCCCTACACGATCACTGAAGACAAAATGGGTATATAAGCAAATGTGGTGAAGAAAGCGGATGGTGCCCGGCTATCAAAAGATATAGTGTCCTTAAAGGCCTGAAGATAAACAAGCGGCCATCTAGCTGGGAAGCAACAAAGCCCACATGGAAGAAGCACACCAGCCTGTGTGATCATGAGGTGTCAATGGGATCAGGGATCAAAGACCTAGAACAATTTTATCGATGTGAATGAGGTGGGGGCAGAGTGGAGACCCAAAGCCCATCGAGACAATTGGACATCCCCTCATAGAAGGGTCACAAGGAAGGGATGAGCCAACCAGCGTACAGTATAACACCAACAAAACATACATCATTCCTCTAGTTCTTTCATGCTTCCTCCCCCCCACTACCATGACCACAATTCTACCTTACAAATCCGGCTAGACCAGAGCACGTACACTGGTACAGATCAGAGCTCTCTATACATGGAACCCAGGACAGATAAACCCCTCCGGAACAATACCATAAGGGTAGGGAGAAGGTGGGGGCAGAAATCACAGTGATCGATGTATAATTCCCCCCCCTGGGGGACAAACAACAGATATGTGGGTGAAGGGAGACAGTGGTCAGTGTAAGATATGAAAATAATAATATATATTTTTTAATTATCAAGGGTTTATGAGGGAGGGAAGGAGGAAAAAAACTGGGGAACTGTTACCAAGGGCTCAAGTAGAAAGAAAATATTTTGAAAAGGATGTTGGCAACATATGTACAAAGGTGTTTGACATAATGTATGTATGGACTATTATAGAGCTGTAAGAGCCCCCCAAAAATGATTAAACAAACAAACTGACAAGAAAAGCAGCCCTAGCACAACTCTTATTTTTAGAAGAGGGAAAGAGCATACTGCATAGGGGTTACAGAAGCGATTGATATGGCCAAACTGAAGGTTCAACTATGGGGAAAGGAAACTAGAAAGGCATCCGGATTACTGGGAATTTCTTGTTTGGAATTCTTACGATGTAAGACCAATGTTTAGCCAAAATAAACTGTTAAAACAAGTAGGTAAACAAAGAAACAAACAAATAAAAGTTGTCCCCCCCCAACCAGAAGAGCTCTCCCACCTTCTCCATGGAGGCTCTCAAACCGTTCCTCAGCAACAGCTTTCCATACGCACAAGCTTATAATTAATGCCTTTCCTATGAAAAGTTAAGAGTCAAATTATTTCAGCTGCCTTTACTTCCTTATAATTTAGTATTTGGTTTATTTGTCTAATTAGTTCTTTTCAGTTACAGCAGTGTGGTTACCATCAGTAAAATCAAATCGAACAATTCACGTGGGCTGGGGTGGGAATGGAGAAGAAGCTGTAATTTTCTGTGTACATGTAAAGGGAGTTTAATGACATAGAGAACTGTTGCTTTCAGGCTAAGAATTTGTTCTCTCCCACCTAGAAAAACATTGTGCTAGTAGTCTGGAGGATCCCTGGTGGCACAGTGGGCTGTGGTTTGAGCCCACTGGCTGCTCTGTGGGCGAAAGATGAGGCTGTCTTATCTGCACCTGGACAGATTTAGTCTCTCAAAACCTCAGGAACAGTTCTACTCTGTCCTGTATGGTCACTCTGCATCAGAATCAGCTTGAGAACAGTGGGCCATTAGTCTCACCAACTGCCCATTCTTCCAGATCACAATTTTAATACAAAACATTGATTTTCTCCTGAGCCAAAAAAAAAAAACAGGAGAAAGAAAGTCTGAGGTTCCTCCCCGCAAGTGCCCTCAGGGGCGTGGCCTTGGTAGGCAAGTCACCATTTCTGTGGGTTTCAGATTTTGAGGTATGAATGAGAACTGGATGAACTTTCAAATCCCTACATTACAACTATTCATGAAAAACTACTTGGAAACAAACTTTAGTCCTGCTTCTATATTATTTATAGATATACTTTTTGAATGTCAGCTATAATTAATTTGAATAAAAATTCCCCTAGGTCAGTGTACATCGTGTGGTATCAGAGTGGGCCAGCAAAAAAAGGAGAAAGACCCTCTAAAAGATGCATTGACACAGTGACTACAACAACGGACCCAAACATAACTGAGGTGTCGCAGGACCAAGGGGTATTTTATTCTACTGCAAATAGGCCAGGGCTGCGATGTGTAACAAGGTCTGCAGCCCTGGTAGCGCAGTGGTTAAAGCACTCAGCTGCTAACCAAAAGATCAACTGTTTGAACCCACCAGCGGCACCACAAGAAAAAAGTAGTAAAGTATGTTTCTGTAAAGATTTATATCCATAGAAACCTATAGGGACAGTTCTACTGTCCTATAGGGTTGTTATGAGTCAGAACTGACTCAATGGCAGTAGGTTTTTGGTTTTAGCTCAATGTAATTATTAACTGCCACAAAGGAAAAAGAAATGCATACAAATATCAAATATGTGCATTTCATAGTCTAAATTTCCTTAGCTGGCACCTAGCCTGAGAATATTTTAATTTGGCAGCTGTGATTAAGCATAAGGTATAACTACAGTTAACCAAAATTCAGACTGATCTAACATTTATTGAGCACTTAAATGTGCCAAGCATAGTGATGAGACTATGCAAAAGAATAAAAGGGAGCCCAGGCCCTGGAGGTGCTTGCAGTGCAGAGTACGCTTAGTACTATTAGCATCTTCTTGCCAATTAGGACTACACATCTCAGCGAGGTAAAGTAGCAACTGGTGTAAGTCTAAATGGAATTTAGGCGTGTCCAGTTTTAAACCCACGCTTTCTACATCACGTTTTCCTGAATTCTCTGCGAGAGCAAACTGTATAAAGCACTGGAACTGAAAATAGGAACTGCCCTTGCAGTCAGGTCCTATTAAAAATGTTAATATGCTTGAGTGTCACACCTCTTTGGGACAAGGTAGGTGCTAGACAGTTTTGCAGTTAAGTGACTTACCCAAGGTCACATGGCTGCTAAGTGCCAGAGCCCGTGTCTTTCAAATCAATTCCTGCAATTAATACAGTCCCTTGAATCAATCTCCAAAATTCTGCTGTGACCAAAAATAAAAGTATATAGTATCAAACATTTCTTTCTTGTAATATTTTTGCAAAAAAGTAATGACGTTTTGGGTAACGAACACTTTTCCATTATCCCATGTCCAAAAGAAATTCAGAGAAATGTTCTAGCAACCTAATTATGTGAGACAAATGTACATAACTCATCTACCTAGTAGACCTGAGTGAAGATTTTACAGAAATTATAAAGAAAAACCAGACTGCTCCAGAAACTTTCCCCAATAACGGTGGATTTTATATTTTCGCTCTACATGTGTCTAATTGAGGCAAAACAGTTTTACTGACATCCTTTTCTAATAGGAAACAATAAGCTGGATGCTGCCATTTTAATCTTCATGCAAACGGAAGGCAGTTCCAGAGCAGAGCAGGCAGGGGAATGATTGCATGAATTTACGCCTCAGTGGTGTGACCTATAGATCTCCTGAGGCAGTTTCCTGCACGGGGCCTTCAATTCCTTGCTGCCTTTGCTAGCGTGACTTCAAAAGTTCAGAGCCCGCTTACTCATCTCACCTAAACGATCTCATTGATCACAGTTAAGGGAAAGAGTTCACTGCCTGGGCAGAAAAGTGTGCCTTTAATAGAGTGAGTGGAGGTAAAGTAATAACGGAGTCTGACTTTCTCTTTTAATCAACAGTCACCAGACACTCAGGCAGAGCAGAGAAGAAAGTATAAACTCCAGATGGTGATAAATCCGGTAAATGGCTGATAAGAGCTATGCAGACTGATTGCAAATACACAGCCTACAGCAGGAACGGAAACGATCGCCTACAGGCTGGGATGGTGGCCTCCGCCTAACGAATCATCAAGGCCTTCCAAGCAAACCGTTCACTTCGGGTGCCCCCGGTCTTTCAGGTGGGAGCTTTCTCCCAAGAACTCAGGATCTCTGGGGCCTCCATCGGATGCGGATAACGGGTAGCTGTACAAGTCCAGGACTGCATTTTCTCCACTAAGCATTGGCTAAACGGCTGGGAAAAGTTATCAAAAGAGGGAGCGAGTACGTTGGCCTAAGGGGTTCCCCATCAGCGGAGCGGCAGAGCCAACGCTTCAGGCAGGCCTGCCCAGGGACCACGCTGATGACAGTTGGCAGGGTGCGGCCGGCCCCCACCCCCCGCCCCTCCCAGCGGCAAAGCGGGTCTGGGGGCTTCAGCAAGGGGGCCAGAGCCCTGGCGGGGGTCAGCACACACTGCCAAGAAGGCCCGAGCGGCGTCGGGCTGAGGAGGCAGCGGCGCGGGCGGAGGCCTGCAGGGAGAGCGCACATGGCCCGGGGCGGCGCTAGCGGCGGGCGGCCCCGGGGCGCGGTACCTGCGGTCGGGCGGCGGCTGCCGCTTCTGCGAGCCTCCTGCGGTCGGCCGGGAGCCCGCCGTGCCCTTGCCCTCGTCCGCACCCACCTCTCTCCCGGTTCTTGCCCCTCGTTTCCCCGCGGGCCCCCTCCTCATCCGGAGCTACAAAATGGCGGCGCCCGGGACGGATCACGTGACCCACAGGCAGGTCAGGTGGCCCAAGTGGCGGGCGGCGGGGGCGGGGCGTTGTCCAGGCCCCGCCCACGGGCGTCAGACGCGCTGGGGTTGGTGGGCGCGAGGCCGGCGGTCCCTCGCCCGGGCTCCTTCCACTTCCTGGCTTCCGGGTGCGATTCCGGAGTTGGCTGGCCGGCTCTAATGGCTCCGGCCGTACCCTGTCTGGGGAGACCTTTGCCCAGAAGTCAGCGTGGCTTCGTTTTGTTGGCGCCGCCCCCCCTCGTCTGTAGCTGCAGTGGCCTAGATTTATCACTGCACCCCGAAGGCTAACAGTCCTGGGCGCTGCCGAGCTCGGCAATCCCATGCTTCTGAATTAATGCAACTTCTTTAGGTTGGGGAAAACATCTTTGTGTTCTCCTGGGCTAAGATGCAGAGATCCTAGCTTTGTTCTTCATTGGATGGCACTTACGCCCGATGAAGGAGAGCACTGGGACATTTTTTTTGCTTGAGCGACTTGAGGGTTTTCAGGGAAAGAATGAATTCTTTGGGTATCTGGACAGACTTGTGAGCTTGGTCCTGTAATGCCATCTCAGTTCTCTTAGGGAAATAGATCGTTTGTCCATGGCATTTGCCTCATGAAATACACACCAGGGTATAAACATACCTGCTTGGGTTCCCCAATAACAGGAGAATGCAAAGTGAGGGAGGCATTGCACCCAGTTTGAATGCAGGCCAGTTTGGGAAGATATCATTTAAATATAAATATACCTACATAGCAGAGTGCGTGTGCGTGGGTCTGGACTTAGCTGGTGAGTGTAAGATTCTCACCCCAGTCAGGTGAGACACTTCTGGAGGGTTTCAGGTAGACTAGAAGCCTTTGCAGCAGACTGGTCTCTGACTCATCAACTGGGAGGAGGATGTAGCAAGTTATTTGCACAGCTCTTTTCTTCCTTACAAATTCACTTACAATATAGAGGTTGGAAAACAGAGAGAATTTTCTTATTTTACAGAATCCTTTGCCTGCTGGATCCGATAGATAAAGAAGCAAAATGTTGTTTTCACTGAAAGAGAACAAGCAGGGGTCTGCCATGGAAGGGTGGTGGTGTTGAATGTCGATTGAGTCAGTTCTGACTCATGGGAACTATTTGTGTAGCGGAATGAAGCATTGCTCCCTTCTGCACTCTCCTCACTGTCATTCCAATGTTTGTGCCTCATTGTTGCACCCAGGGTGTCAATTCATAAGAGCCCTGGTGGCGCAGTGGTTATGCATTGGGCTGCTACAAGGTCAGCAGTTAGAAACTCACCAACTTCTCTTAGGGAGGGAGAAAGACAGGATTTCTATTTCCCCTAAGAGGAAAGTTCCCAGGGGCAGTTCTACCTTGTCCTAGAGGGTCAGCATGAGTCAGAATCAACTTGGTGGAAGTGAGTTTTAGTTTTATTTTGTCAATCCATATTATTCCTCTCTCTCTCTCACCCTAAATTTTACCAAGCATGATGTCCTTCTCTAAAGACTAGTCCTACCTGATGACATAGCCAAAGTACATGAGATAAAGTCTTGCCATCTTTGCTTCTAAGGAACTCTCTAGTTGTACTTCTTCCACAATACATTTGCTCATTCTTCCAGCAGTCTGTGATGTGTTCAGTATTCTTTGTCAACACCTTAATTTAAAGACATCAATTCTTTGGTCTCCCTTATTAATTGCCTAGCTTTTACATGCATATGAGGCAATTGAAAATACTATGGCGTGGGTCAGGTGCACCTCAGTCTTCAATGTGACGTTTTCACTCTTTTGCAGCAGCGTTGCCCAGTGCAATATGCTGTTTGATTTCTTAGCTGTGGCTACCATGAGCATTGACTGTAGGTCGAAGTGAAATGAAATCCTTGACAACACTAGACAGATCCTTGCTAGAAATTGAAGTCTAGATTTTATTGAAGGAATTGAGCCATTTCAAAATGGGAAGACATTACAAACATCCATGCAAGATGTGCAATGCTCCAAATTGCAGGGGCCAGTAAACAAAGGATGTGTGCTCTTGGGCATTTAAAAGACAGGGAGGACGTATGGCAAAAGTTATAAAGGGTTTGTTAAACTACAAAGTAAGCATTATTAGTAAGCTCATTTAGTACATTCTGTGATTATTGAGATTTGTTTAACAAAATATTTTGTCCAGGGCTAATTTTTCTGTTAAAAGCAGCCTTATCCCAACATCTCAGTGTCTACAAAGGGTAATTAATAGGAAATCCCAGTGAGCATAACTTGGGGGAGTCAGGACAGTGAACTGTGACTTGATATGTACCTGCGTTAGCCACAGTTATTTACTGGTGCCAACTTACTTCACCTGATCAGTTTCAGCTCCTGTGCTCCTGCTGGTCAAGGTGCTTTCTCTGGGGCCAAATGTAAACACCCTTAACAGGTGCCAAGGAATTCTATATCCTGGTTAGAAATCTTGACCTTTGTTTTGTTTTTCAAGTAGCAAAATGTTGACAAAAGAATTAAATAAAAATTAAAAAAGAATTAAATGGTTTCTTCAGGAAAGCAAAAAGGAAAACCTTAATTTAGTTCAAAGTGGATTCTTAAATTTTAGATCTGACGTCAGACATGCTAGTACAGTGAAACCTATTTGTCTAATGGCTCCAGTCTCAAACTTTCCACTACTCAAATGGTGAAGTTCAAAAATACCTGCTCGTTGTTTGTACCTGTGCTCCATCATTGCACTGAAAATCCCACACAAAGGGGTGAGGCTCCTGTCTAAGCGCAGTGCTGGCTGCGACAACATGTACTGTTTGGGCCAGTGCATTAGCATTTGTCATCATGCTTTTTTGTGTGCTTTATTTGCCTAAAATTTCATAATCATGGCTCCAAAGGAAGTTAGTGATACCAGCAGAAAAGCTAAGAGGAAAACTGTGAGGGCCCCAGTAGAGCTAAAGAAAGAAATCAGTGCAAAATTTGAATCAGGTGGCTGCTTATTTGATTTGATAGGTGAATACAACATGGCTAAACTGACATTACCAACATAAAAATAAAATTTAAAAAGTAACTAAGTGACTAATGTAACCAAAATGTTAACCAAGAAACAAAGAACCAGACCATCAAAATGTTGAAAAGCTACTGTTAATTTGGATAAATTAGAAACAACTCCATGGCGATAGCTTATCCGAGACAGAGATGGGAGAAGTCCCAAACCTCATGAATTTATGTTATTTTTCAGCCTCAGAATCAATTATTTGGTTTTCCATATTTCTTATGGGAAAAATATGTTCAGTTCTTGGACTTTTTGGTGTTGGAACACAAATTGAGTTCGACAACTGATGTTTCCTGTTTTTTTTTGCAAAGCTATACTACTGCACAGTTGCGATGTTACTTATTTAAAATCCACTGTGGGGACTTTTGTTTCTCTGTGTTTAGTGTAAACCCTACTGAAGGCTGTACTCTTTGATCTTCATCAGAGAGTTCTTCTCAGTTTGCTTCATTTTCATACAGAAAGGCTGGGTCATCTGCATGAGACAGGTTTTTAATTCCTCTAACCCTGATGCCACATTCTTCTGTCTATAATCCAGCTGCTCAGATTACTTGCTCAGCATGCAGATTGGTTAAGTATGGTGAAGGGACATAACCCGGACACATACCTTTCCTGATTTTCAATCTCATACAGTATTCCATTTTTCAGTTTCAAACGACTGCTTCTTTGTGTATGTACAGGTTTCGCATGAGCACAATGAAATGTTCTGGAATTCTCATTTTTGCATGTTCTCGGCTTTCAGCCAAGAGCAAGCTGACATCAGGAATGATATTGCTTCTTCTTGCCCTCTTCTGAATCTGCCTTGAATTTCTGACCCTTGTTGTGGGCCCACTTCTGCAACCATTTTTAAATTATCTTCAGAAAAAATTTCCTTGCATGTTAAATTACTGATATTATATGATAATGTACACATTCTGTTGGATCATCCTTTTCTGGAATTGGCATGAATATGGTTCTCTCTCCAATTGTTTGGTTAAGTAACTGTCTTTAAATTTCTTGACATAGATCAGTGAACACCTGCAGCACTATATCAGTCTGTTGAAACCTTTCCGGTCGTATTCTGGAATTCTGGAAGCCTTGATTTTTGCTGTGCTTTCAGTGCAGCGTGGCCTTCTTCCTTCAATGCCATCAACGCTCGACCATACGCCACCTCCTGAAATGGCTGAACACCGACCAATTCTTTTTTCCAAGCCATTTATTAGGAGCTCATCCAGACATCATGCCATTCCACAGTTCAATCATATCAATCAGTGTTGTACAATTGTTACCAAGACCAGTTTCAAAACCTTTTCGCCCTTCTTGAATTCCTTGATATCAGCCCCCCCCTACCGTACTCCCCAGGAACACTTATTCTAGTTGTTGTCTCTATAAGTTCATCTATCCTGGGTTTCATATACCAAAAACATAGAAAGACATGTAACAAAGATTCAAGAAGGCTACCCACAATGACAAAATACAACAGAGATAAACCCCAATATGAAACAAACAAACACATAAAATATTAAAAAGCAGATCAAGACCAAAGTGTATTAGAGGGGAGATCAAGTGACAAGGTTTTAACTGCTCAAGTCAGATTTGTCATTTTAATTTACTATAGTGATCTTTCCAATACTCTATGTCTGGTAACCAGTTAATTCCCACCCCTCAATTGTGGTTAGAGGGATATCACTGGAGGCTTATTCCCTGTGTAGATCTTGCAAATGTATTTTGGGTTGACCAAGTCTTTGGTACAGCAACTCTGTGTATTCCTCCCATTTTCTTTCGGTGTTTCCTGAGTCATTCAATATTTTGCTCATAGATTTCTTCAATATTATAACTTGAGTCTTGAATTTTTTTTTCTCTGGTTCTTCCAACTTGAGAACTGCTGAACATATTCGTCTACTTT